CCCCCCGCCCGCCGTCGCTGACTTGACTCCGTGCAGCAGGTGTGTGTAGGATGCTGCCCATCCCCAGGGGCCCAGGCCGCCCCCCTTTCTGATGGCGGGTGGGGGGGGCCCCAAGGCCAGCTGGGCTGGTGGACGTGGTGCAGTCATGATGCTCCAGTCATGCCTCAGAACAGCCTCGGGCACTGCCCAGGTGGGATTTACATTGTGTGAAAACTGGATGTGACGTTCGCACAGACCACACATGCCCAGGAGCACAGGACCAGGGGCTGGGCACAGGGGGTCCTTCAAGATCCGGGGCGCGTGTCCCCTGAGCATGCCAGGGCGCCTCCCACCCAGCGCCGAGCAGCCTGGGGCCAGGCAGGCTGGCGTCTAAGACGACACACGACAAAACCGGTGAAGGGGCCGCGTGTGTGAGAACACCCTTCTTTGGAGAGGGGAACGGTCCGTCCGGGGTGCAGAACTAGCTGGGCCTCCTTGTGGGCCTCCCCTTCCTGAGACGCCCAGCGAACCGGGCGGCCCGACCAGGGAGGGGGCCCCGGAACCACCCTCCTCCCTCCTGAGGGCTCAGCCTGCCGGTGGAGTCCAAGGTGGTGGCCGCTGTTGAGGGACCCCCGGTTCCCCTCCGCAGAGGGGGATCCACCTGGGGGCATCCCTGCCTGCACACTCTCCCCCTCCCAAGGTCCCCAGCAGGGTGCGGCCCCAGCCCTCGGCTTCCCCCCTCCGCAGGGTCCCCCTTCCCCTCGGGAAGGGCCGACACCTGCCGACCCCAGAGTCTCCTGAGCAGGAGTAGCTGCAGGGGTCCCATGGGGGGATGTGGGGGCGGGCAGTGGGGGACACTGAGGCTGGAGGGGTCTGGAGGAGAGGGGAGGCTGGCCCGAGCCCCTGGGGTCCGCAGTGACCCGCCTCCCTGCACTGTACCCCCCCCCCCCCCCCCCCCCCGGCCTGCTGCAGCCCCTGGGGCCCCAGCCTCGGGGGGAGTGAGGCACACGTGAGCTGTGGCTCACTGCAGCCTGTGACCCACTTTCTCCAGCTTTCTTGCGGGAGTTGTCTGCCCACACGCGAGGCTCCAGCCCCATAATAAGGGAAGACGAGCAGCCGGCTCCAGGCAGAAGCGCCCCAGCTTTGGCCGTGTGCCCCCACTGCGGCGGCCACCTAACTGCGGGGCCGTCAGTCCCCTTGCCGGGGCAGACAGCGGCCCGTGGGGCCTCCTCCCCGGGGGGGAGAGCCGGGCGGTGGGGGCGCCCAGAGAGAGGGCTTCAGCACCCGGGGCAGGTCCCCCCCCACCCCCCGCCCAGGTACATCCAGGACTTGTAGACGGAGGCCAGGCCCCCCACATGGGCTTCCTCTTCCAGAAGGGGGTGTGAGGTCGCTCCGGGGCCCCAACCCACCTCCCTGCTCCAGGTGTGGGAGGGTGGGGCGGGGTCCCTGACCACCGCGGACCCAGGTCTCCTAGCTGGGCTCCTGATGCCCCCTCTTGCGGTGGCCCTCCCCACTGCACCCCCGCCCCAGAGGGGGTTACAGTCTGCCTCTGAAAATCAGCCCCCTTCGGTCGGGACAGCCGCAGGATCTGGGGGGACACGGTGGGGTCAGGCCTTCAGGGCACCACAGGGAGCCCAGCCCGGGGACTGGGGCTCCCAGAACCGGGTGGGAATGGTGTGCACCGGGCAGTGCGTGTGGGCGGCGCCCAGGCCAGCTGACCCCGGCACTCAGCTTGCAGTTGGCCCGGTGTCGGTCAGGAGGCCAGGTGGGCGGATGCCAGAACCCGGCCCTAACCCACAGCCACATGACCCAGCTGAGTCAGCCTGAGAAACGCCCAGGCTGGCAGGCCACTTCCTGCCCCCACCCCGCGTTCCTCCACACTCCACAGCCACGGCTGGGAAATGTCTCTCTGGGGGAGGCCCCGCTTCTGCTGACCACCCCCCACCGGAGCCTGGCCCCCTCCCCTCCTTTCTGGCCCTGGCTTCAGCCCTCCAAAGCACAGAAGGGACTCGGGGCTTGAAGCTGTGCCACCAGAGAGGGCCTGGCTTATGCCACGGGGCCTTACACTGGTCATTTTCCCTCTGGGGACCTTGGTTTCTGCATCTGTTAAACAGGACATTGAGATCTTCTCTCCCTGCCTCTTGGGTGCCATTGCATTGCATCTGATGGGGTACCACGTATGAAAGGGCCCAGGGGCGCCTTGGGGGTCACCAGCACAGCAGGTAGACTGGAAACACCCCAGTCCCAAAGCCCCTTGGAGCCCGAACACCAGTCCAGGTGGGCACTGGGAGACCTTGAAGGACCAGCCCCCACACACCAAAGTGCATGCCGGGATGTCCTGAAGAGGCTGCCACTCCCCTGGGGCCTTCTCACCTTGCCTAGGTTGAGCCAAGTGGTCGGTCCAGCCAGGGGACGGCAGCCCGGCACGCTTCTGGAAACTCGTGCTGGTGTCTGCCCTCAGGAGGGACCAGAGCAGCTGCTGGGCTGGAGGGTAGGGTGGCCTCCCTGGCGTGGCTCTGGAGACCTGGGCGGTTTTTCCCCTCAGCAGGGTCCTCACGGCCACTAGCCTTGGGACCTTAGCAGGTTTCTGGAACGTAAGGGGGTGTTGTTGACAGGGTGGCTGCTGTCTTCCAACTGATGGCTGCTGTCTTCTAACTGATGGCTGCTGTCCTTCCCTGTCCATTGGCTGTGAGGTCAGAGAGCCAAACAGGGGGGGCTTATGTCGCTTCATCCCTGAGCCTGTCTGTGACTTTGGAGCATTTTCCCCGCAGCCTTTTACGGTCCCCTGCATTCAGGCAAAGGTATGAGCCCAGCCACGTTAGCGGTGGTGGTGGTGGCAGCCAGGCCACGAGGCCCTGCTTCTCTGCTCCCATCGGTGACAAAGAGCCGCTGGTGACCTGAGCCCTGTCCCCCCTGCCTGGGAACCTCTGCTCTTGCCCCCAGCATGGCTGGGCCGGACCCGTCACTCTGGCCCCTGGTCTGAGAGCTCACCAGGCCCCTGTGGGCCCCTCCCTGGGCCCCCGCGGGTCTGGGGCTTTGCCCCCCCTGCTCAGAAGAAACCTCCATTTACAAATAGGGACTTGGAGAGAAACGTGGCGAGCTGGGGCACACAGCCGTCGGCAGTGGGGCTGGACCCCTCTCCCCAGCTCTGTGTGTGGTCCCCAGGCATCTGTGGGGGGACCGGGGGAATGTGGTCAGAACCGTACCCCAACTTGTGCGCCTGCGGGTGGAGTGGGAGGTGCGTTCATTCTGCCGGATCCTGCTGGATTCCTTCTCTGTCTCAGGCCTTCCCACGGAGAGCTGAGGCTTGGCGGGTTTTGGCCCAGATAACCGGGCTGTGCGTCCCGCCTGCGGAGCCCTGATAAGGCACCAGTGACCTTTCTTTATAAGGATACCATTGTTCTGGCTCGAAGGTGGGCGTCTGGGTGCTGGTGGAGGGGACAGTGCTTGGGGGCAGGAAACTGCCCAGAAGGCAGGTTCCAGTGGGGGCTGGGAGTGTGCCGGGGTGGGGGCGGGGTGGGCTCCGTGCCCACTCCCCAGGCCTTGCTGTTGGCCTTGGCCCAGCATCAGAGAGCATGTCACCTGGCAGGTGCCCAAACGAGGATGTCAACTCAGGGACGCCGGGCTGGCCCAGCCAGGGGCACAGCCTGACCTGTACCTGCGTGCTCGGGGCCAGCCCCGCGTGGGACCCGTCGCCCACTGATGTTGGGGGGCTCTCAGGCCCCAGATGGGAGACCAGAGGGAGTGCCCCTGCGCCCTTGGGCAGCTGGACCCCGGGCCTGGGGAGCAACCAGGCAGGCAGTGAGGGACAGAGGGGACGGCTGCCCACCGTGAGTGCGGCCCCAGGTTGGGGCTGGCTCAGCTGGGGGGGGGGGGGGTCTGTGTCGTCATGTCCCCCGTTCCTCAGCACCCCCTTCCTCCCCCGGGCTGCATGGGGGCTGCACGCCCAGGGCCTGCAAGCCTTCCGTTTCATCCTCAGGAGGCCTCCCTGTGCCAGACCCACCCCCTCCGCCGCCCCTGCCCGCACCCGGAGGGCGGGGCCGCGGTCCTCTGGTGCTCACGCCACCCCTGGCGTGGCGGGCAGGTGGGGACAGGACCCTCTCCAAGGCCACGATGGAGATCTGCCCCACACCCACCCTGGCCACCTCTCTGAGGACCCTGCCCTGCCCTGGAGAGAAGGAGGAACGAGGCCCAAGGACGTTGGCTGCACAGCCTTCATTCGCCCCAGGGGCCTCTGGGGCAGGCCACAAGTCCCTGCTCTTGGCATGCATGCACTGGATAGACAGTGAACAGGACGGACAGACACCACTCCTCTCCTAGGACCTGTGTCCTGTGGGAAAAGCTAGTGGAGAAGAAAGGAACCCTAGAGAGAAGGCTGTGGAGCTCGGAGCGCTATGTGGAGAATTTGCTGTGTGAGGTGCGAGGGGGCCGGCCCTCTGGAAGGCGCCGTTGCAGCTGAGGGTGGGAAGGACCCCGCCAGGCGGGGGTGTGGGCGACGGCATTCCAGGGGGGACGGTCCAGAGCAGAGGCCCTCGGGGAACGGGCTCTGCATTCTCCAGGGACAGAAAGGGGCCCGTGTGGCTGGGAGAGTGAGTGGGGGGAAGGGTGGGGCTGTGGAGGGGCTGGAAGACGGGGGCCAGGGGACTGAGGCTGGCCTGTGTTCTCTGGGCCGGGAGCCACTGGGGAGCTGTGACCCGGATTAACTTTTGCAGTGGACGCAACAGCACCCCCTCCCCAACACCTCACCCCTGCCTTGCCCACAGCAGAGATCAAGCGCCCAGAGTCAAGAGCAGCCAAGGGTGGGCCGACCAAGGGAGGTACAAATTCAGAGACCCCTCCCCGTCTGGGCAGGTCAGAGGCAGCTTGTAGGGGCCCCAGCACTCTTCTGGGGTGTCAGGACACAGAGGGGACATTCACTGGTGCACACCTGCATTGCATTCGGATTGGAGGGTGTCCATAGAGCAGTTCAGTTTGAAGGTCACCTCTGATGTGTTGGGCCAATAGGAAGGAAGTGGGGAGAAAAGGAGGACTACTCAGCTGACTGGCTGGAAAGATCCATGGAGGAGGGAGGGAGGGAGGGAGCGATGAGAGGTTGGGTGGATAGATGGATAGATAGGCAAATGGGCAGCTGGCTGGCTGGCTGGATACATGATTGGATGGATGAATGGGTGGATGGATGGATGGATGGACGGATGGGTAGGTGAGTGGATGGATGGATGGATAGACAGACGGACGTGTAGATGGATGGATGGACAGATGGATGGATGGATGGATGGATGGATGGATGGATGGATGGATAAATGATTGGAGGGATGGATGGATGGGT